GCTTCACTACACTACACTGCATTACACTACACCACACTCCACTACACTACACTACATTACCCCACACTACACTCCACAACACTGCAACTACAACTACACAACTACACTATACTACACTCCACTACACTCCACTACATTAATTTACACTACACTACACTACACTCCACTCCACTACACTACACTCCACTACACTACACTCCACTACACTACACTACATTACACTACACTCCACTACACTACAACTACAACTACAACTACACAACTACACTCCGCTACACTCCACTATACTCCACTACACTAAATTACACAACACTACACTACATTACACTACACTACATTACACTACGCTACCTTCCACTACACTGCACTACACTCCACCACACTACAACTACAACTACAACTGCAACTACACAACTACACTCCGCTACACTCCACTACGCTCCACTACACTAAATTACACTACGCTACACTACATTACACTACACTACACTCCACTACACTACATTACACTACACTACACTCCACAACACTACACTTCACTACATTACACTACACTCCACTACACTACAACTACAACTACACAACTACACTCCGCTATACTCCACTACACTAAATTACACTACACTACACTACATTACACTACACTACGCTACATTCCACTACACTCCACTACACTACACTACATTACACTGAATGACACTGCACCACAGATAGACAGGTAGACAGATAGACAGATAGCTTAGATAGATAGATAGACAGATAGACAGGTAGACAGCTAGACAGATAGACAGATGAAAGAGAGAGAGAGAGAGATAGATAGATAGGTAGGTAGATAGGTAGATAGGTAAGTAGATGAAAGAGAGAAAGAGAGAGATCGATAGATCGATAGATAGATAGATACATAGAAGATAGGTTGGTAGGTAAGTAGATAGTCAGAGAAAGAGAGAGAAAGAGAGGAGACCTCAAGCACCTTTCGGTCCATCAGTGGATTCGCTCTGCCATCCCTGATTCACAACAACCAATCTCTCCTATAGGTTTCCTATTTTTGAAACTTCCGCCACCGCCTTGTGCGGTACTACTGGTATAACATAAGGAGGGGAAAAAAAAACATACGTAAATCAAATGTTTGGAAAATCATGTCCAGAAAGCGGACGTTACTATTCTTGATATAGCCATACACTCATATCATATAATTACATGCATATATACCTATGCATATGTAAGTAAAACCATACGTACATGTATGCGTAATATATATATATATGTATATAGATACACGAGTAAAACATAGTAAGATATATGTATATGTATTTATGCGTAGGTATATGCATACATGTGCATGCATAAACAGGCACACTCATGCATATTATATATAATTATATATATACGTATATATATATATATATATTAACTATCAAAAACCCATTTACTTAGTGTTTACAATTACAACTTCAAGTGGAGGGGAAGTTTATGTATCACGGTTTCCTTTCGTTGTTTGAGGTTCGAAAGTTTCGCCATGTTTCGCCATGTTTCGCCATGTTTCGCCATGTTTCGCCACGCGACAGGGTCTTTAGCGAGTCTTCTTCTAGAAAGGGCAGCCGCATGGCATTGGTTGCCTGCATAGAATGGGAAATGGACTTTCAAAGTTCAATGGGAGATCCCAAAAAACACCCACTTCAACGGGAGAAACATAGAAACTCTCCCAGAAACTCTGGTTTAGTTTAGTATTGGATCTATTGATGGTGGGGCCTTATAGAGGAATTGAATGTTATAGGATGTTATAGGTATTTGCAAGGATTTCAATGGGGTTAGCATAATGTAGAATCAGAAATCGTTTAACAGTTTTTGTGCAAACAGCAACCAGGTGGTTCTTAGAGAGCTCTTGGCCACCGGAAGCCTCTAATCAACAGTTCACAAACTCCGACAAAATCCTACCTTCCAGTAAATTCACATAGACTCTAGACCCTGGCAGTCATCGGGGTTCGAAGATTAGTTTCCACCAAAAATTGGTGATTTTCAGGGTCCAACTGTTCATTGACCAGAGGGTAACCCTTACCCAAATCGTTCCAAGCCCCGGGGGGTCTCTTCGGCACCTTTTCCAGCATCTGACGAGTATTCCTCCAAATCAATTAGCCATGAAAGATGCAGGTTTCACGCTGCTCATCTGAGATATCCACCAAAAAAAAAACACATTAGCAATAAGGTGTGCTTTTGTGTATATATTTATTAGGAACAATAATATCCATTGTCAGCAATATGATTTTATACTTACGTATATAGTATTTGGTATTACTTAATCCACCTGGACCTAAGGAGGGGGAGGCTTTCTTTAAGTTGTACTAACCATGCATTTGGATGCATTTCGGCCATCGGCCATCGATTTTCATCTGAAACCCTAATCGTCCTTATCCAAAGCCATGCCAAACCTGTGCCCGCAGGGGCCTATCACTTCTATAATGTGATGAGTCTCGGTTACTTTTCAATCATTTCCTGGTCTCTTCTTTCCCCTTTGCTCCCCTCCAAAACTTGCCAACTAGCACAACTGACTGCCTTCCTTAAAACCAGTTGTTTTAAGCAAAACGGTGCCCAATTCAGCAAGGTGCAAAGTTTTGCCGTGCCCAAAATGCGAGTGCCTTGCTTAAAACCAACGGTACCGGCCAATTTTCGTCATTTCTGGAGGTTTGGGGAGGAAAGGCTCAGAGTAGTGGGAGGAGAGGCGACAACAGGAGAGGAAAAGGAGAGGACAGAATAGATGATCAGATGGGAGATCGTGCAGGTGAATTGCCACAGACCCATCCACTGGAATTGTAGTTGAAAATCCTTGAAAATTTGCAGGTTGGATCAACCTACCCCCCCAAAAAAAAAGAAACCCAAAAAGCAATTGCAAAATGAGTTCCCCCTCCATGACTTCAAAATCAGGTCTAGGGGGATAATATTTAGGTATGTAGTTAATTATGTAATGTGTATGTTACGCATATTGTGTCCATGAATGAGAAACATATACCATGGAACTACCCAGCCAGCGAGGTCAAGAGCTCACTAGGAAAAACAACATTCTTCTCCGCCGATTATAGCATGTGATTGACTTCTTTGTACATGTTGTTTTTTAATTTTAACTTGGACTAAGCATACTAATGCATACTAATTGTTTCCGGGGATCTTTTGGAAACTCCCCAAATGCCAGGTCAGACCCTTCTCCGGAAGTCCCTACCGGAAACATCTCAATTATTCAATTTGCCTGAATAATTACAATATATATATATTTATCATAATCATATAGGATGAACATGGATGATGAACAATGATCAATATTCGCAAGCACCAGCTAGCCTTTCTTCCCCAAGAGGCTCAATCACCCTCTGAGCTGCTTTCTGTCCAGTCCTTTCCAGGATCTTGAGCTGGGAGATATCCGAATGGGACCAAGCCCGTGTAAGCCGTTGACCCTGGGGGCACTTCTCTGGTTGGCTTCCGTCCCCCCAAGATTCTGAGTCAAGTGGGATGATTGACCCCAAGATTCAGAAATTATCAGAAATTAGCAGGATCAGTCGGGAAGCTCTTCTTGACGCCAACGTGTTACAATTGTTACAGTGATTCAAGGTATTTCGAGCCCCGTGGAGCCATGGTTTTCAGGGGAAATGGAGACCAGGTCCCCCAACAGATGCGTTGGATCTCACCGACATGCCAGTGCCGGGCCGAAGTAACCTTTGTTGCGGCCACAGCTGGGGAAAATGATGAAAAAAGCGGCCGAAACTGTGTTGCTTCCCAGTTTTTTGGCCGTATCATGCAGAGTTTTTCTATGTTTTTCTATGAACTGTTGCATGACCCTTCCCCCCAAGAAAGATTGCATTGAATCTGATCCTTTCCTGAACGCCGTGTGACGGAGGGCGAGCCAGCATGGGCCTGGTCACGAGCGTCTCAGAGTTGAGGTCCCGGTAGTTTAAGGTGTTTAATTATAAGATATTATAAGGGAACAATGGGGAAAAAGAAAATAGAAAACATTAGAAAACCATAGTGCCTGGGTAAAACACTCAGGTTTGCAGTTGTTCCATTGAATCGACCCATTCACAACTGTCAAGATTTGGTGTTCACCTGGGTAAGAGAAAGAGGACCACAATATACAGCAACTGGTGCAGGATGGTTTCAAGCATGTTGCAAAATCATGGAAACATATCAGGATATCGAGAGAAGCTACCTTGAAACAGATTACGAATTTGGAATTGGGAATGGCCAAGCTCCAATGGTCTCCAAATGGCCACGTCCAGGTCTATCAATCGGATATCCTTAAATTTATATAATGATCCATGAGAACACCGGCACCACTCATGACAATTTGGGTCCATTCACATCATAGACCCTGCATAACCCTGCCCGGCCAAAAAAAGACAGCGGCCAATGATGATGTCCGTCTTGTCAGAGGACATTAGGTATCTTCAGATATGGTGATAGCATGGAGCATGTGAATGGCGTTCCACCACCATTTAGGATCTTCGGAAAGGTCCTAGCTCCCAAGTTAGGAGCCCCGAAGACATACCCGGATCCCTCTGGTAATTTAAGATAGCTATGGTATAGAAGGCCTATTGATAAATGTGTTGCCTAATTAACAATTGTCATTTTCCAGAGCTATGTGAAACTACCAGATGGTAACAAGGCCTTGTTATAGAAAAGGGGTGTAAAACTATCAACAGCTAGATATTCAAGGCTTGCTCCATTCTTTTTGAAGGCCTGGGGCCCACAGAATCTTCCAAAAAGTTGGGAGCCGTACTGCCCATACCCCGAAACATGGGATGTCACCAATCAAACCCAACTAGGTATCAAAGTTCCGAGCATTATATGAAAATCTTGGGAGTTCACTTACAGATTTCAAATATGTTCAAATAATTTATATAAGGTTACAATTGCCGGTTACAATCTCTCAAAATCATTGGACAAACAACTGGATGCTGCGACTGGCGATTTGCACCACTCTACCAAGGCCTTGATCCGCGCTTGGACATAGCCATGGCGTAGTCGAAACGAAGCGAATGCCAGGGAGATGGTGGTTGGTATGGTTGGTTGAGCTAGCCGTCTCAGCAAATCCATTGGCGAATTTGGGATCAGTCTCCTTGGGAAAGCCAACAACCTGCTGTGATTTGTTGTTAGGAAAATGAGCAGCAAAAAAAAAAACTGCAACATCATCAACTCTGATCATTGTGTTGTCGATTTTTGTTATCATGATGGTAATATCGCAATATATGGCAATCATAATCCCTTCCCCATCCTGATGGAAAAACCATGAACAACCACCCTGAAACGCTGGTTATCTGTTGAAATCTCTTCGATTGGCTAACCATGCTTGAACACTTGAAAGGCCCCGCAGGCTACCACTAAGATCTGAAGGTGGAAGCATCAAAAGTTTGACTGTGAATGGCGAATGGTTGCATATACTTAAATGGAGTCCTTCAACAAGAAATCTGTTGATATGGGTTTGTAACAAAATATGGGGCCCTTGAACCAATAGTTTCTACATCAGATTTCCATAAAATGCTGCCAAATGCTGCCAATTGTGGGCCAGCCAATTGTGAGCCAAAGGGCTACAAAGAATTGATCTGCTTGCCGTTCAGGTTCTATGCTTATTAGTTGCTAAGAAGTTTGGAAGTTTGGCATAGTTTGGCTCTTGGAATTGGGGGGCAGAAGAAAAAATCATGTGGATGTGGGGCATGCCCAAGAATTACATCATCGATGAAGGAAAACATGATAATAATGATAATTATTTAATTATAATCAACCACATTTTTCGGGTACCCAATTTTCACACAAACCCATCTGAGCCAGGTCCAACATGTTGCAGCCATTGAGGCTGCAGCTGGGACGTCGCGCCTAAGGGCAGACCCCGGCCCCAACCAACACCGTCCCTAACAAATGGGAGGTAAAACTCATGGCACCACATGAAAATGTTTTAAGTTTTAGATATCATTAGTCATTAATGTGAACAATTGCATGGTATCAAACCCATCCATGCTTCAGTCTTGTTTTTCCCAGTCTGCCAGGTGAGGGTCCCTAGGTTTTAACAAAGGTGCAACTCCTTCTCCACTCTTTCTCCTCCACCTCCGCCTCCTTTTCCAACCATCATCTCCTCTGCCAACTCCAGACGCGTCCAGGGCCATAGCTGGACCGGAACTCCAAATCGCGTCCAGGATGCTGTGGAGAATGCCAGACAGAATATCAAATAGAATGATAGAATGTCAGAGTAGATGCTAGAAAGAATATCATAATATATATATATGTATATATATGCAAATATGCTATTTATATAATGAAATAATATATTATATATATACACACATTTCCAGGTGGTATGTGAATAGTGTGTCAGGGTGGGGATCACTCGAAGAAAGTCATTTTCACCAATGGGATCATCGGGGAGGCAGATCAGCTGCCAGTTCAACGAAACCTTTCAAGGCCCATCGGCCCATCCCATGGCCATGATGGACGACCTCATCACCTATCACCAGCCATCCAAGGAGTCCAAGGAGCCATGTGCAATCGCCGCGGCCGAGGGCTGCCTGGCAGCGAAAGAAAAAAAATCCCCAGTCACAAGAGTCACAACCATCAACCAATCATGATTTAGAGGTGATATTACGGTTCTATATGGTTATATAATATTAATTATATATATATGGGGGTTATGGTATCTAGTGTTTATGGTTTTGATCTCTCTCTATATGAGAGAGAGAGAGATTCAGACATATAGGTATATGATGTTTGGCATTGTTTGGCTATGAAATGCAAGTTATATCAGTTATGAATCCTCACGTTTGAAGGTGGCTGAGTTGCTATATGCCCCAAAGTGGGACGGTTCCATTGAACCACAGCTACATGCCTAAAATAGATGGTGGGAATCATGATCGCAGCAATTTGCAAACATTTGCAAATGAACTAAGAAGGGAGATTCATAATACTTTCAAAAAGGAAGGGTTCAATGCTTAAACCCTTACGCTGATTCTATGGCTGTCTTGATCTGATCGTCTTTGGTCCAAAACATCCACGGAGACCGCCTGAAACACCATGGGCAGCCCCACATCACCATGTCTTTTACAGCCAAACTTTGGAGATCTACCAACGCACCTTGCCCATCCTTGCCCCAAGATGGTGCCAGAGTGATTCTCGCAAAGGTCTTAAGCTTACCCTCTGGTAAACTAACATAGCTATTGAAAATGGCCATTTATAGTTGATTTACCCATTAAAAATGGTGATTTTCAATTGCTATGTTTGTTTACCAGAGGGTAAGCCATGTGCAAAGAACATCGAAGAACTACCTGCAGATGTTGGTCCAGCCTCGTTGATTCGATACCGTCGATACCTCTGTAGTCTTCTCAGACTTCTCGCCCTTGGGATCCTGCTCGAAATATCTCGAAGGGGGAGCACCCTCCACCAAACAAGCATGCCGATACGAAATCCCCCATACATGGAGGCTTTTAATAGGAACACATCTTCTGTAAATTCTTAGAAAGAATCTCGTGCACAACATTCAAATCGAGTACGTTTGGACTCAATTTGCAAACCCACCTGAGGAGAGAAGATGTCGAAGTATTGCGGACTTCCAGCCTGGGGAGAGACCCTGGCAGCCATGGCATCAGCAATCGCCTGTGTTTCCCAAAGGTTCAAATGAGCCATGTTCTAAAAGTCTTACATCCTGGCAGCAAATAAGGAAATGCTAACGCCATTGCTTACGTTTTGCTTACGCGCACAGGTTTTGCTTACGCGCATATCAATGCATATCATGTCTTACGCAGGAGCTTACTCTGGCTTGCGCACCACAGTTTTACTTACGCCAACGCTTACAAGATCTTACAAGGGGCCCCTTACTCAAAATGAACACAAGGGCTTAGAACGGCTGAAATGGTTTGAAACAAAGCTTGAAAGGCCTGATTGATTTGAGGCTAATTGTGTGGTTGAAACCATCCTTTTTGCCCCGGTTTCCTTTCTTCATTAACCCAACTCCAGGAGTATAGCTCTATCCTTTCTTCCTTGGGTATAAGTATGAGTCGGAACTCCCAGGTGCATCGGCCTGTTGAACTGTTCCGAGGGCCCCAACCAGTTTACGTATATGCATATATGATCATATATGTATATACTGATACCGCTCTTGCATTTACCTGTGTATGTTGTCTACTGATCCATTAATTTATATATATATATGTATGTGTGTGTGTTACATACCTATATACATTTCACTATGTAACTATATCATATCTAAAATCGAAAAAGGTTCCCTGAACCTATATCTGCTCATATTCTATATAAATCTATATCATAGATTCTATCTGTGTCGTATTCCATCTTTAATAGCTGGCCTTGATTGATCACACAGGCTGTGGCCTTTCCAAGTCTTCTGCTCAGGCGAACTTTCACCTGGTGCACAGTTTGTATTTTGACAGGGAAAATGGACAATCATGACGGACAGAGTACAGTATACGAATAAATGCATAGAATATAGATCAACATACTATGATTTATAAACACAATTGTATAATATTATGTATATGTGCAGTGTGTATATCTGTGTGTAGTGTGTATATCTGTGTGCGTGTGTATGCATTTATACGTGAAGAACAGGAGTAAAAAATAGTAAAAGTGGGGCTATGACCCCAGTTGTCCATCCCCCATCACTGCCTATGGCCTGTGGGAACTTAGCCCCTTGATACTCCAGCTTAAATACATTTCTGCATCTAGCAGAAGGATAGCAAACATGTATGTATATATATATAATATACTGCATCCTGGTTCGGAAAGATTGACATGAAATGACTGTTTAATGGGTTGGTCTCAAAAAATTGGGTGACCATTAAAATTGGGTTGTTTAATGACCATGTTTTGAATGAATTTGACAAGATGGTGTGACCCTCATCTCCATGAAATCCCACAGTTCCATGGTAAAATCCCATATTTCGATGGCTAAATCCCATATGTTGGTTTTTGTAAACCCAAAAAAGGTCCGAATGTGTCTCCGTATCCAGGATGTTCTAGATGACATGGTGCTTTGTATGTCCGGGTTTCCAGCATTTTTTTGGTCTCCAGGGCCGCGGCTGGTGGTGATTGACCATCAGGTGCTTGAATTGCACGAAGCGTGGAAGGGTCCTGGCACAATGGGATGGAAATTCAAGAAGAAATGGGATGATCAAAGACGTCTACTGTTAAAGTCGATGAGAAAAATCTTTGACGGGATGGGATTTCCAGGGATTTCCCATCCCATTTCTACTATGATCCTGTCTTAAAACGTCTTTTCCAATGGGATTCTTGTCTGGATTACTCCAGAAAACAAGGTGTTACTCTTAGAATCCAGTTCCTCCTCATGTTTAAATATACTATCATCACACCAAAAATATATATTTAAAGTTTCAAGTACCAAACTCTAATATTTTAACATATGTTAACATATTTTAATATATTTTAATATATTTTAATATCACAATAACCCTATCGTCATGGATAGATGGACCAAATGAATAGATCCAATCCATTCCACCATGGCGTCTCAGCAGGTTTCGTTTCGGTCCTGTGGGACAGGCTGCAGCTGCGCTCGCAATTCCTCGGCTGATTTTGCCATGGCCCATTTAAGGTCATTTGGTCAATGAATGGTCAATGATATACCATGATATATAATACGGAAATAATACTATGAAAGACATTGAAAGAGCAAAGATGCAAATGTTCCATAATGCCAACACCGGATTAATAACCCCCCCCCAGAAGGTCAGAACTCTACCTTGTAGGTCATTTTCTTAAACACCCCTTAATAATAAGCAACTCTGAACCATAAAACTTTGGATATGGCTTACGTCAATTAGATCTTAATAGAATTCCATTGGATTTGTTAAAATCTCATGGATCAGAAAGGTGGTTGATTAATCAGGGGCAAACCGTGGTTATTATTAATGGGGGACATGGGCTCATGGGGGGTACCCTTTGGGAGCTATCCAAACTGATGATTTTTATAAAGATTTTAATTAGAAATCGATCA